ACTTATCGGGTTATCCTGCGGAGTATACTATACGATTTTGGGGTGAAGACATCGATATTCGTAGTTATTCTAGGATTGACTATGTACAACTGGCCTCCTTGGCTTTCAGGGGGCGTTCACATTATAAAGGGGAGTTGGAAAGTAATGACTTCTGGAATGTAGACATTAAGATATATATCTTGTCGGCTATCAACACTGAACCATTAGACAAGTGTAACTGTTTCCGTACCTGTCAGCTTTTAAGTGCATGTCATGATCCAAGATGCTAAACGGATTAGCCTACTTTATGCTGAATGATCGGAATTTCTCTATGCTGTCTGTTATCCAAAATTATACACTTGTAACTCTTATTCATATCTTTTAGGAATTGGGCAGAGCAATGTGGATTAATTGCCTAAGCGATATTCAAATATCCAGTTATTAAGAAGACTAGCTGACAAGCATGAGTTTGCCCTCGATATTTTGCACCAAGTCAGTAAAAAGGTCATTAAATAAGTAAATCTATTAAACGTATGCTCTCCAAGTAGTCTGCCGGATACGGCCATATTTGCAGCTCCAAAACAGGCCAAAATATTTATTTCTGCTAGAATTATTTAACAGTTTGTCGTAGTGAAGTCAGCAAGAGGGGTTGTATCTGATCGGAGATTAGAGCTGCGTCGGACAAGATAAGATAACAAAATAAAAGAAAAAGCAATTAATATCGGCCACGAGACTTTTTGATAGCCTTCAGAGGCCACTACAAATCAAAGTGTTTTTAATATCTTGACAAGTGCCAAATGTTTACCGCCATTGCCTTCAAACCGACTCTCACCCAAAAGTTGTCTATGCTGTTGAGTGTGGCTTCGAAAAAAGCACATTTAAAAAAATACTTACGATGCCAATATATTGTCTGCGTTTGCTTATCGTCAGCTGAATTGCAAACGAATACCGTCTTGTCTTCTTGTCCAAATCGCATATAACTGAAGCGGTACCTAAACCTATCGCCTTTTGCACGTATGTCTGAATAGAAAATAAAGGATGCAAGAGCTTTCAATGATTACTTGCTTAACAGATAATATGACATAAACCATGCTTGCGGGACTTACCATTCTCGAAATCAATATTTATGCTTGTGGAGCTATCCCCAGAGGTAAGGCTGCACTCCATTTTCTACAAGGAAATTAATATTTTTACGTAGGGGCTTGATCACATAGACAAAACTAGTACAATGGCGTTAGTTTGCTCCTGCTATCTGCATCTTGAGAGGCACTGATCAGTAAATCAAAGAAAGGATAAATAGAAATACAATACTGCCTTGCTGCTCAAAGATGAAACTTTGTAATTTTAAGGAATAATAACAATATATAGTCAGAATGGAATGGTCATTTTGTGCGTATTTAATCTTTATCAGGCAGTCATATCAAATAGCAAACAACGGGTGTTCTGGTTGCCTATTCGGATGCTTTCCCAAGTCCGTGATAATGCATACGCCCTGTCAATAATTGCCTGCTGTCCAGTTTACTACAGTCGTAACTGCTAATGGAATTAGGAATCTTTTTTCGCGGTTCAGCAGTAGCAGAGGCCAGTTTCGTGTTTCTCACCATTTTAGTCCAACATCAGAGCACACAGCAAAAGTCTGGATAAAGCATCTGGGTTATTAACACTGAAAATAAGGCAATGGTCAATTGATAGGGCTCAATAAACCATATGTAGATGTCTATTTCGGACTGTGATGCATATTTTTTTCTCTATGGTTGCCTTGGTTATTGGCAGGATGTGAAGGCTGTGTTATCAGCCCGATTGGGGAGTGGTTGGGCCTCTACCGAGCCTGGTTAATCCAGTGGCGCTCTCTATGTCCCGTCTAGTGAGTTTACTGTCGGGCTGTGCCTTTGCTGCCGAGTAGCACGAAAAGGAACACATTTTCTACCTTTGTTCGATCAAGTTCCCTTAATGCTTCGACAGGCTGATTAAGCCCTCCGAGTTCTTCTTATTTATTCAATTATTTACCCCTTGCCTATTTGAACCAAAAAAGATCTTCTGCGTCATCATCTGCAGTGAATTATTCCATACTTTCAATACAACTCATAAGAATAGGCTCCAGTTTCAATCAATTCCCACGCTGCGCAAATTTTCCTGCATTCTAATTGTCCTGTACAGTGCCAAGTAATGCACAAAATTAATTTTACTTTGCATATGGAGACTTTCTCAATAAACATAACGTATTTTCGTGGTTAAGGAAAAGTGTTGGGCCCGCTAGCAGAAAGAACTGTTCGCTGATGTACACTTCTGCCGGTATTAATTACAGTACACATGTCTACCAGTATTATATATTTTAAATTAATTATATAATTTGACATGTGCGTTAAATTCAGAGATGATTGCTTAGTCTGCCATTTGGCAGACTGGATTCATGCAGTGTGAGCTTTATCTTAGTAGACTCAATTGTGAAAAAAACTAGAGAACTCGGTGAAAGTCGAATCCGCACAGTAGGGAAGGCTTTTGCGCAGCCAACGCTCCACCACTGATCTACGATACTCCCCGTGCGCCCTAAATTTAACCAACTTGACCTTTACAGGTGGTACTGAACTAGACTGGTGCGGACTTTATCTCGGAGGTCCTGACTACCAACCTAGTTTGCACAGCGTTTCCTTGTCGAGGGTTGATTCCAGCTGTTTAAGCTTACCTGCCACTATTGGAGGCAAATATTATTATTCCGATAGTGTCATCTAAACAGTCGATTCACGGCACGTTAGGACATTTGGACAGATCGGGTACAGAATGCGAATCCAGGCATCGTTTAATGGGGTAGTAGCAAAGAGTTGATTTTCCAAATGGAACATCTGTCACTTACACGATAATCAAGTGGACCCCAACTTCTTACTGTCCATTGAAACTTCACTATATTTGAAGTGGTGTGCACAACTTCATCCTCACCATCAAATGCGTCAAAACCTACAAAGAGCACTAATTACTAATTTCTGATAATAAAGAAAGTGTACGCAATGAATGCACGATTATTTGCAGTCTGATCTCGTTCACATGTTACAACGACGCTTACCTGGCCAGAGATATCGATAGGAGACAACTTCGTAGGCATCGGCAACCGCATCGTCATAGATGCATGTAAAGATCACAATAGGTTTTACTCCCCGAGTGAGCGTAAATTTTAAGATTGAGTACTGGTCCTCATCTTTTAAAACTAAAGAGGAGGTCAACAGGACAATTTAAACATGCCAATTATACCGGTATTTTACTTGAAAATGCATTGCCTAGTTAATATATTTAATGAACTTACCACATGGAGTCAAAATCCCACAAAGTTCTCGCTCATTCGAAGAACATGTCAGCTGCAGTCAAAATGTTTATATTCAGATTCTTTAAAATTTATACTTACTGAAATAATGCATTGTTTTCAATCCAAAATTAATCAATGGGAAAGGAAATAAACGCAGCACAAATAAATATGGACGAAAAGTCTAGATTGCGAGTTACTAATTTAATTGTCTATCAGCATAATTGTTTTTAAGCAATTTAGTCTTCGATATAACCCGAAGCAATAACAGTCACACTTATGGTGCTAAGCAATGATCTTCCTATGCGTTTCGCCTATAGTAACTGTGCGACATAAAAAGTGTCAGTAGGTTTAAGTCACATATCGCTAGGGATTCCTTAAATGTGGACATTAACGACAGACTTCTCAGACATTTTATTAGTAGCAATGCTTACTGAGCAAGGATTACTAAAAACAATGCCCCTCACTTGCGCCAATCCTTAGCAGTAATTTTAGGGGGATAGGATCATCTCTACACCAGAGATATGGGTAGATGATGGTCCTCAAAATGTCTTCGGAAATTTTCGAACGCATTGTGTAAAGCAAACGAGATAAAAATGGAACTCTTGTGAAGGCTTTTAGCAAACTGACTTACATGACTGGCATTTACACCGGGAGGCCAGCGTCTGAGACGCCAAGAAATCTCCAAAATTTTCCCTTTTATACAACTAGTTGATGTGTCATCAGATTCAAACAGAAAGACGGCTGAAATGGAAAATTCGTATAAGGTGTGAATTCTAAAGAAACATTTTCTAATATGGATATTTGTAATCAGGAAGCAAATGCACTATCCATTTAAAGTGATGCCACTCATGACGTACCACGCTCCGATGAAGCAAACGATTCACGTTCAACTGAGATCCAGTCAATTCTATCAGGTAGATCGGTATTTGGAACCCCAATTAAGATCCTCTGAACATTTTCGACATCAGCAAGGAAAATTGTAAATCGCGCGAACTCTCCGACTGAAAGCACAAAGCACAAGCATTACATCATTAGCAATCCCCACAATCCCCAATCGTGTCAACCACTAAGAAAGCCTGGTTTATCATTTGTTATATGAACAACATGATCTAAAAAGATAAACTGCAAACTAAAAGGTATATATAGGAATTTTTAGGTAAAATATAAAACTATGAAGCATGCCCTTCTCAGCACATTTTCATGAGACAAATTTTGATATATGCCCATTAGGAACAAAACTTAACTCGGGAACGGGAGAGTGTACAGGATCGTTCAAGCGAAATTAAGCAGTGGGAAACATCTCTTTTTCACGCAACTGATTAAGCACTTAACATGTAATATTACATATTTGTGCTGTAGGTGTTAGCCGTGTCCATAAAATGCATCAACCCCCCATTTTGACAGGAAAGTGTTATAGTCTTTTTGACACACAAATCATCACGTCAAGACAGTTATGTTCACTTACATCTCTCGACGTTGCATTTAAAGGCTTCTGTGGAATTCTGAACCCAACAGATTCCCTTGACAGCGTTTACCTCGCATTGTTTACTATTCACGATGACACGCTGAAAGAATCAAAAGCAGAACGTCATTACCCATTCAAAAATCCACAATGGTAGCAAAACTCTATGCATTTTTCAGGCTTACCGATGGTACGCCCGGTAGCAGGGTAGTAAAAATGAAGGGACCTCTTTCCTGAGTAAACACTGCACGTCGCATGCCGCACATTTCGGGTCCTGTTTAAAAAGGATGATATGCATGTGTTCGGATCAACACAAATGGTATATATCCACTTGTAAGTAGACATTATTAAATTTTGTGTGACAGCGGCAAGAGACTTACATTCGTTTTATTAGTTTAATGTTTTTTTTCTACTGAACGCTTTACCACTATAACGGGTTGTAACTAATAAGACAGCAAAATGACTTCTTTCGGCTGTAGCCAAGTTCTAAAAATGCATTGCCAGTGAAAGGTATTTTGTTTTGATTTAAGTGATTATGTTCCAGTAGCAAACAACTATAATTTTGCGCCCCTAGTTTCTTGGGGGAAAGCCCCCGCGTCCTAAACACCAAGAGTGTTGATAGCTTTGTGATAGAATTCGAGTCTTTAGTTGCTGCCCGTGAGTTATTGGGTTTTAAAGCAAAGGATGTGAGTCACTTACGTTATTAGTGAATCTTAACGTAGACTACCTATCTATCAGACGTGAACGTTCGCCCGAGTGTCGTACAAATCAGCCCAGAAGAAGCTTATGACTCTCGTAAGCTCATATCCCCATCCTCTTTGCTTGTTGCAATAATATGGTGCATGTCAGCTATTGATACAATTATAGCTGGTCTTAGTAAGTATAATTAATAGAAATAATACTCTTAGTAGTGGCATATTAACCCTAACAGCAGTTCTTAGCTCAAACGTAGTAAAGTGTGCCACAGCTTTTGTTGGACAGAGGTGAGATTGTGGAAAGCAAGGAAAGCCCTGATGTGCACCGGGCCTCAAACATGAAGTTATTCGGAATAGCCTAACTCCAGATTCTCACTCCCTGCTGCGATCTAGGGGATATGAGTAGACGTTCTGTAAAATCCAAGTTACAGATAAAGACTGCGGTAGTCCTAAAGGTAGTATATAGACGGCAAACGTTACGACATAAAGGCATGGTACAACTTATGTTATTATTAAATAACGTTTTATTTAACCCGCAATATAATCACTTTAACTCAGGCCGCTTATGTTCTTAGTGAACCTTAAGGTAAACTACGTGCAATAAGAAGGCTTCAAAGGACAGTATCACAGAGATATTCTAGATACAATCTCAAGAGCATAACAAGGGATTTACGTTCTGTGAAAGGCGCCACTTACTAGCATATATAGAATCTATTTATTGACTCAATAATAAAAGTTAACTACCGGACTTTTTCGTCATAATGGTCAAAATGGAGAGGTGCTTACGATGATCATATACATCAGAGTGCGTTTCATTCGTCCGTACAACCAGATGTGCCAAAAAGGAAATTTCTGGAAGATTGATGCTAAGGATGCATGACTGCGTTGCTGTCAAATGGTAATGAATATTTAAGGTTTTGACACCAATGGGTTTAAAGCAGTCGACTTATGATTAAAGCATTAGCATTCAAAGGAAACTACATAACTCTCAAAAGGCGTAATACGTAGACAAGGTCGACCATAAGGGCGTCGGCAAACCGAAAAACATGTAACTTACAGCATACTACTGGACACGGAAATGCGAAATGCACAGAGGACGTTAGGTAGCATGTTCCATTGATGGCTCTATAGTTGTCACCATGAATTTTGAAGTTAATTTTCTATTGGGAAAACAAATATGGAGTTATGATTCAATCTTCCGTTATTCAGTTTGGACTTGGCGAGAAAGGAAATCGAAACAACTCACGGTGGTTTCGTTCGAAATGTTCACATTTATGGTATAAGGGCCGTCGGGCTGAGAAATTGTATAACGAGTATAGGACTTCGCGGTTGATATGTCAGCTAAAATACGTAAAAGCATAATTTAATTAAATAAAAAGTATTTCTGCCATCAATATATATATATATATATATATATATATATATATATATATATATATA